GAGAGAATCATTGACCGGCTGCCTCCTGCATGCCGGAGAGATGGAAACATCAATGATGAGAGAGAATCATTGACCGGCTGCCTCCTACGTGCCCCCTACCCGGGATTGAGCCCACAACCCGTGCATGTGCTCTGATTGGGAATTGAACTATGACCTCCTGGTTCATAGGTTGATGCTCAACCACTGAGCCACACCAGCTGGGTCTCTCAGACTATCTCGAAGACCCTGTCTGTGTGGGTTTAACTAACTTTCCCTGACGATGATGTAAATCATCCACCCAGCCCAGGGCATCTTCGTTGTGAGCGCAGCACATTCATCTAGGTAGCTCAGGTATTTGCAACCTGATATTGGCAACCGATTCCTCTCAGTTTGGACTTGATTGACGCAAAAGATCTTTCTACTTTGCTTTCTCCCTCCCAGGTATTTGATACTTTTCCCAGAATTGTCAAGTATACATTTTAAAATGTCACTACATAGAGGAGGAATAAAATGGTAAATGTCAATATCAGGACAGGCAGTGGGGACATTTGGGTACCTTCATAGCCTCACTTCCCGTTAGTAAGAAGTTGCTACAGTTTTGGTTCCTCATTTATTTTTTTATTCAACCTTCTAGATGGACCTGACTCTGTCAGAATGCGTGAGTGAGTGAGCCCTGCCCGATGGGGCTGCAGGGGGTGGCTTCTCCATCAGCAATGACTCGCTTAGAATTCATCATGTGCACCAGGAGACAATTAGGTGTGAAGGCCTCTGGAGCATCAGTCAGCTAGCTCCTTGGGAATCCTGTGATCTTTCGGCTGCCGTAAGCCCTGACCTGTCTCTCCTTAGAGGCCAAAGGAACAGTGTCAGGCCGTGGCTGCACAAAACCACACGGGAAGCCCTGTCCCCTCACTCCCCATCCGTGAGGGCCCCACGTCCTCACTCACAAAACCCAGTGTGTCCACAGAGCTGTCGGTAACAGAACAAAAGGGCAAGAGGACCGCGGGTTTTCCACCGCTCCTGCTCGGTGCCCTGTGTGCCCCGGGCAGGCAGCATGGGGTAGCTGTGGTCAGGATGGTTCTTCCCCCTTTCCTCTCTGCTTTAAGAGACACAACTACCTCCACTTTCCAGGCTGACTGGTTTATTTTATTTTTTTTTCCACAGAAAACATTTCACTTGATTTTATAGCTTCCCTGTGTAAATCTAGGCAACTCTCCTAAGAGCCCTCCATCGGGGGTGATGTCCCAGATCCGTGAGGGCAGGGGCCCTGGGGAGAGGGTCCTGTGGCCTCTGCCTCCTGAGGACCAGGGCTGGGAGTTTGCCATGGGGGGCAAAGGGGCGGGCGGGGCTGCTCCGGGGCCCGGGCCGTGGTTATTTCCGGTTTTTAGCAGTTGGCTCAATCTAAGCCTTATCTTCCTGGCCTTCAGCCTTGTGCCAGGCACCAATCAACAGGACCCACTCGCCTAAGGGGAGCCCCTTAAGTGCAACATGTCTGAAGCAGCTGACCTGGCTCATAGCTCTTCGCACTGCTGCCCAAATACTAGTATTTGGGGTGTACAGAATGGGAGAGTCGACCTCCGAGCCCTTCCAGGGCCCGTGATCAGCACTGAGGGTAACAGAGCCAAGGAATGGAGACATCCCTCAAACAACTTTCAGATTCTTCTAATACATGCCCACTGTAGAAATTGTTTAAAACTGATGTTTGCAAGCGCGATAAAGGATGAATGTAATAGCTACACGAATCCTGCTACTAAAATATAATCATGGTTAATAATTATTAACACTTTGGCTTATTTCTTTCCAGTCTCTTTCTCTAGACACATAATTACTTTAACAAGGTGGAAGTCATACTGAATACTCAGAATTTTATTTTATTAGATGTATTAGGGCAATATTGATTAATAAGATTATATGAGCTTTGAGTGTACAATTCTGTGATACATCATCTGTTTATTGCATCATGTGCTCACCACCCAAAGTCTAGTCTCCTGCTATAACCATACATTTGACTCCCTTCTGACCCTCTCCAACCTCCCCCCAGCCCTCTTTGCCTCTGGGAGCACCACACTGTTGTCCGTGTTCATGCATTTGTTGGTTTGTTGCTTTCTGTTTTTATTCCACATATGAGTGAAATCACATGGTTCTTGTCCTTTTCTGTCAGACTTATTTTGCTTAGAATGATACTCACAGGATCCATCCTATTGTTCCAATGGCAGGATTTCAAATATGAGTAAGGGATCAAAAGAAGTTTCCATTCAAATCCTAATCCATTCATCAGTATTGACAAATTTTACTGAAACTTTCAAACTAAATCCTGTACCTTGCCCGTGTTACTTGGCAAAGCAGTGACATCTGTCCAGTTGCGTTCGATTCTAACCACAAGCGATGAGGACAGAGTGCTGCTCCTGGGGTGCTCCCGCTCAGCCTGTGCAGAGCAGGCTTCCACACAGTGAGTCAAGTGGATCCCAAAGGAGGCTCCCAGTCAGTGAAAACCAGAACTCAGACACAAACCTGTGTTCTGCCTCCATTCGCTTCTCCAGTCTGCTGCTTTTTCTCCCGTAATTAATGCCCATTGCAAGAGATGGGTTCTCACTCACTATGGAATCCGTTAAGTGGATTAGACTTTGAATAGGCAGGTGACATTGTGGGTACTTGACTGGTCTTATTAAACTTTGGTTTAAGGAAAGTCCTACTTCAGACTTGGCCAGGTACGCCTTCTTTTTGTTGACTTTTGAAGAATATATTTAAATGATGATTCAAGAGTGGCCTGTGACACAGGGCTGTAAGGCAGCAGCCTATAAAGATGGTTATTTAAGAAAATAATTTTTCGGCAAGAAGAAAAATTTCCTAACCCACTCCTACTTCCTGTCATTCAAATTCTTCAAAGGGTGTTGATGGGGTTTTTGATTTGTAATGTCAATGTGATATTGCCTAAAAATCCCAAAGCTGTTAGCAGTGGATAAAGATGGTCATTTCTGGGCTGTAAGGCAGCAGCCTATAAAGATGGTTATTTAAGAAAATAATTTTTCGGCAAGAAGAAAAATTTCCTAACCCACTCCTACTTCCTGTCATTCAAATTCTTCAAAGGGTGTTGATGGGGTTTTTGATTAATAATGTCAATGTGATATTGCCTAAAAATCCCAAAGCTGTTAGCAGTGGATAAAGATGGTCATTTCTGTTTGCTTTCTTTAAAAAAAAAAAAAGGTGGTGAGAAAAAGTAAAGAAAGCCCAGTAGTGGTACTTTAAAATTGGGGCTTAGGTTAAATATTTCTTATTTTCTTTAATGTGACAAAATCATCTTAAGAAAACACACAGCTAAGACACAGTGGCAATAATTCGTATAAATTAGGCTATTACCTGAGCTATCAAGGCCGTTAAAAACAATTACATACTTAGTACTCCTGAAAGGCTTCTGAGATAAATCTTAAGATGTAGGAATTGCTTATGCAATGCTACAAAAAATGCCGGGCTCTATGTTGGATTACTGTCTGGTCAGTTTTATTGTAATTACTCAGTGATTCTATAAGACTAAGCCTCAAAAAAATAATGAGCAGTTAATGAACTACACAATAACCAAATCTGAATCGGGCCAGGTCAGTTGAGTTTCTTGAGAGGAGAGAGAATAGGAAACCTAATGGGAACTGTGTGGCAGGTGTAATTCCGGTTTGAAACAGGACTAAATTGCATGCCAGTCCTGCTCTCTGAAGAACTAGGTATAAATCTGTCATTAAAAAATGAGCGTTATGTTATTGATTAAAAAGTAGTAGAGTATTAGCTTCCAGTATTTTCATTTTAAAGAGCATCATTGGGCACAACTGTTACAACTTGAGTGAAAGAAGACAAATCATGTTCCTTCAGTGAGATGTTCCTTAAATTCATCTTAGATTAATTTTGACTGGAAAGTTTTCAGGGAATTGTGCTGAGCCTAAAAATTCCCCCCAAACCTTAGCATCTGTTCTGTATTCACAAATGGAAATAACTACATGTCAAATGCAAGAAGATTCTATTTCCTTTAGACCAGTGGTTCTCAACCTTCTGGCCCTTTATTTTTTTAAAAAAAAATTGTTTTATTGCTTATTCATATTAGGTAACTAACATAGCTACCTTGAAAAGTTATAAGATGGGAATAATAACAAATGAATATATATATATATATATATATGGTATATATTCCTATGTCCCTCTCCAAGCTTTGAGCTGACTTTTTTTATTTGTAGTGCTTTCTGCAAAACACAAGCATTTAGGTCCTTGTGCTGCAAAGATGCAAAGTTAACTAGTATTTTCTTAAAGAGAATTTCATAATAGTACGAGAATATAACAGACCTTAAAAGCAATATCTCCTCCTGATTTCAATAAGCTGAATTTGTGAGAGGCACAATAATGTCTTCATTTGCTAGAAAGATGTGTTCAACTATAATGCCATAACAAGTTCTGAGTTTGGCTATAAAGATAGATAAGCCTCTTATAGTGGTGTCATGCCTCTAGACACGTTCAGTACCTGCATCTGTGGCCAAACTATTGCACAAAAGGAAATTATGAGGAGTTTTAACTTGATGGGTGGAGGAGAGGGTGTGTCTCCTTGTGTGTGTGTGTGTGTGTGTGTGTGTGTGTGTGTGTGTGTGAGGTACAGCAGCTTCCTGTTCTTAGAGGTGGTACTTCATAACCCTTCTGTCCCAGGCAGATCCCTTGCAGTGGTTCTCAATTTTCTGGCCCTTTAAATACAGTTCCTCATGTTGTGACCCAACCATAAAATTATTTTCGTTGCTACTTCATAACTGTAATGTTGCTACTGTTATGAATCGTAATGTAAATATCTTATATGCAGGATGGTCTTAGGTGACCCCTGTGAAAGGGTCGTTCGACCGCCAAAGGGGTCGTGACCCACAGGTTGAGAACTGCTGCTTTAGACCGTCTTTTTTTTTTTTTTTACAAGTTTATGTCAAAAGTCTTTTTAGACCTTAAAAGTGTTTTGTTTCCTTGTGGCAGGATAGCTAATGTATAATCATTGCAATTTCTCCCACCAGTGCCCTGCCAGACTGTTCTAGATTACTTGAAGACGGTGCTACAGCATCACAACCAACTCATGATCCCACAGCCAGTTGAGCAGCCCTCCGAGGTAGGTCTCCATTTGTAATAAGGTAAATGTTGTTCCATTGAGAATTTCCTTAAAATGAAGCGTCTTGATGGCTTACCCACATATCCCAGAACAGGTTGGCTAACAAAATACATTTCTGACTCGCTGAGGCTTAGGCATCTACCACCTGTGAGGATGTAGCCTGTGGCAAAAGATGATGCATGTATTTAACTCCCAAAGAGTCCATCTGTATGCTGGGGGCAATAAGAGAGAAATAGCCGTTTAAATAATGTGGGAAGTTTTCCCACCATTCTTTTGGCACAGAGGGGACTGGAGATGGGAGTCACCACCTGTCATTCCTCAGGCAGAGCCAGGGTTCCAGAATGCCTCTTTCTGTGAGACCGAACCCAAGCTGAGGTTCTCCAGTGTTTAGATAGATATTTCCCGAACATTAGGGCCCCTGAACGTGAGCATTTTGTTCCTCTGGACCTCAGTGGAAGAAACCACGGTCTCTTCACCGTGTAGGAGAAGCGGTCTGTTGTGATGGGAATGGCTGTACCTGTTAAACCAGTACATTTGTACAGGATCTAAGGCTCAGTTTTCTGGGTGTGTGATTTTCACCTTAGGGACCTCAGAACCTGAATCCAGTGGGAGAAGCCACTGCACTGTACCTTCCGGGGTTACCAGTGTCTAGGATTGATAACAGTAGGTTGCAGTAGCTCAGTTTTTCCATTTGGCAGGGTGAGTTGTCCAAGTTAGTAACAGTACGTTGTTGACCCACTCTGTCATCTCGTGGTCATACATCCATTGGCATTCCCCGCGTCCAGTTAAATAATATGAAAGTACTATCCCTGTGCTTACCACTTAGTAGATCCTGCCGCACACCTGTTCCCACCTGACCCCTGTGCCTCTCTGCTGAAGAAATACAAGGCCACACGGTTGTCCAGTTCCCCACGCTGTGAGAGACGGATGAAAAGGGTGGAGTCATCTTGTGCAGACTGAGACTCAGTGCCCTGTGACCTGAGATGCTCCCTTCCCCTGAAATTTGGAGGAGGGCTTTCAAAGGCCTGGTCCTTTGCGGCAGCCACAGCCTATCCTTGGTCCCACCACACCCCATCTCAAATTCAGCAAGATAGTCAGATACCCTAGTTGAGTTCCGTGTACTGACTTCTGCCACACTTACATCAGCCTTCGCGCACACCCCACAGCCCCATCGAGGGCAGTGCCCTTGCCAGTGCCGGCTGGTCCACGTCTCGTTTACCCAGCGCCGCCGCCTCCTTCTAAGACCTGGTGCTAGCCTTTATGCTTTGTCTTGGGTACTGATTTCTCTCTTGTTTCTGGGTCATTCTCCTGAGTATCAAACACACTCAAGTCTTCCCACCCTGAAAATAAGCCTTCCTTTTCTTCGTCCTTCTCTCCACCAATTATTATCTTTTCTTTTTCCTTCCATCACCCAAAGAATCCTCTGTCAGCACCTTCATTCTGCACCACAGCACATCTCCCTCCTCGAAGCCTAGGCCCGATCTCATCCCCATTAGCCTCCCTAGTGCCTGCCATTGAAAGCACTTGCCAAATGGTGACCTCATTTTCTAAAAGTGATTAAACATTCAAAAGATGGGTCTCTGTTCGTCATCTCCACCCTCTGAATTTCCACTTGCTCTCCCACCACCTGGAGTCTGTCTCCAGCTCCACTCTGTGTCAGAATGCCCTATAAGAAGCCTCAGAACGGTCCCATTGTCCAGTCCAGGGCCCTTTCTCAGCCTTCGTCACCCCCAGAACTTCACCCTCCTCCATGATCTCTGCGGCCTCCACGCCAGGACATTCTTCTGGTTCCCAGCCTTTTCCATCTGGTGTTCACCAGAGTTTCATCTTGCATTGTTCTCTCTTTTTAAAAAAATTTTACTTTCTTTTTTTAATATATTTTTTGTTAATTTCAGAGGGGGGGGAGAGAAAGAGAGAGAGAGAGAGAGAGAGAGAGAAAGAGAGAGAGAGAGAGAGAGAGAAAGAAAGAAAAAGAAGAAAAAATATCAGTAATGGGAAAGAATCATTGATTAGCTGCCTCCTGCACGCCCCACACTGGGGATCAAGCCCACAACCCAGGCCTGTGCCCTGACAGGGAATCGAACTGTGACCACCTGGTTCATAGGTCAACGCTCACCCACTGAGCCAGGCAGCCGGGTCTGCATCATTCTCTTGCTCTCCACGCCCTTTCCTGGTCGGTCATGTCCTCTCACTCTCTCTCTGAACATCAGCCTCCTGTAGGTTAATGAGTCCCTAATCCAGCTCCAAACCACCAGTCTCCAGGCCTCAACTCTGGACCAGGGGGTCCAGAGCCTGACCAGCAGTGGAATGCCATGCACCCCGAACTCAAGACACCTTTGAATGCCCATCTGGACTCCTGTTTTATCTACAAGAAAAGCAGCACTGCCTGGCCGGTGTGGCTCAGTGGTTGAGGGTCGACCTGTGAAGTAGAAAGTCACAGTCAGGGCACGTGACCCAGGTCGCAGGCTCGATCCCCAGTAGGGGACATGCAGGAGGCAGCGGATCAGTGATTCTCTCTCATTATTGATATTTCTATTTCTCTCTCCCTCTCCCTTCCTCTCTGAAATCAACAAAAATATATTTTAAAAAATTTAACAAGGCACCAACCCCAGGCAGAAATTTCTGAGGCATCACTGACTCTCCTCGTCCTCATTCCTGGCATCCACGTGTTTGACAGCCATGTTGAATAGTCTCTCATCTTGTCTCTGGTTCACGCTCATCACTTTTCACCTGGGCTGTGACAGTAGATTCTGTCTTCTCCATTTTCCACACTGAACTTACTTTTCTAAAGTGTGGATACAAAATGAGTGTCACATACTGGATTGCTCCTTAGGACAGGGCCCACGGTTTCCTAGCGTAACATTTCTATTATACAAAAAGCACATCTGAAAAGCTTGCTTTCTCCAGGAAGCTCTCCCTGATTGCCAGACCCTCTCTGCTCACCAGGACATTGTTTATAAGATGAATTCTGCACTTACTGAAAAGTCAGCGTCCACCTGAGTCTTCCATTTGGTTGAGTCTATGAAGACATAGAGCACTCACTGTTCATCTTGGTTTTTTCAAAGTTGTCTCAACAGTAGGTCAGACTTTAATAACCTGTTGGTGGCGAGTTGAGGAGGGTATGCGATCAGAATTCTATGGAAACATAAAAGTAGGGAAAATGCCTACATTTCCTCTGCATAGGACTATTAAACTTGACCCATCATCATTACTACTATATTATTTTTATTGTCATGTCAGACATATGAGCATTTTCTCATTGGTATTATTTACTACATTTTATTTCTATTAACCATGTACGGTAAATCTCATCCACAACACAGAGCTTTCTGAGTTGTTTTAAGCTGTAAATTACTTTCTTTTTCTTTCTTAAGAAAACTGCCTCCAGATGCTATTTCTGTATTTTATGAGTGCTACATTTCATGGAAAAGTGTCTGAGTATATTTTGTAAGGATTTGAGAAAGCTCCTTCCCCGTATTGTCGCTCCCTAATCTCAAGTACCGCCCGTCTTGAAATAGACTCAACTCTGGCCCGAGAGATGAACTCTGAAATCGGGGGCAGGGTTCCCAGCTCTGCCTTTTGGCTTAGGAGACCTTGGGAAAGGACTCAACCTCCTTGGCCAAACAGCTGTGGGAATCCTAGCTTGTCGGATGAGCTCACACACCCAAGGGAAAGCCCTTTTAAAACTTGTGCAGTGTTGAATGACCACAAGGTTTAAAACTAGCTGCACGGTCTCCTTTTCCCAGGCTGACAGGTGCTTACAGGGGCCGTACCTGAGAAGCTGGTTTTCGCTTAAGGAAGGTGGGAGTCCTCTGTCTTCATCGTCCTTTTCAATGGCCCTCTGACTTTGATGGTCTCCTTAAAGTTCTTTAACTTTGCCAGTTTATTAGAGTCAGAAGCTCTTCAAGTGTCCCAATGCCGCAGGGATTAAAAACAAGGCAAGAAGCCTGCATTGCAGCGCATTACTGTCTGCCATGTGCTGGTGGCGGTGGAGTACACTGCTTCGTCAGTCACAGATGTTCATCGCACCTGCTCTCCCGTGCACTGTTCTCGGCCCTGGAAGAAGACACAGACGAAAGCAGATAATCATCGCAGCCCCCGTGGGCTTATCTCCTGGTGGGAGATTGGTGGACTCCTCCCCACAGACCTGCAGGCTGGGATTGTTATCCTTATTGGGACAGAAGACAGCTTACGTTTAGAGAACTTGTCACCTGGCCGGGGCCTGCACCAGAGCCCACCGCTGTGCTTGCACCGGCATCTCGGCCTGTGGCCAGGGGTACAGAGTGCATGTGGCAGCCTCGGGCTGCTCACCCGTGGCTCGATACATGGTGACGGTTATTAGGGAGGCTCTTCCACAGGAACGCTTTTGACACAGTCCGTGGTCTGAGGCAGCGAGCCCTGGGTCCCACCTTCCCCAGGCCCCAGTGGGCTGCGCTCTGGGCTGAGGGGTCAGCCAGTCAGAACCCTGTGACCCCTTCCCTCCCTGTGCATGGGAAGCAGTGGAATTCTCTTCCTTGCTACCTGCCTCTGTCTCCTCCCGGACATACCCTCCGACCCTTATCTTTGTGAAGGGCACCCACTTCTCCTGGGAATCATCTGGACTCCCCAGGCTCCCAGACCGTGGCTCTCTGAATTGCCTGCCTGACCCCCTTGATTCTACATCTTTCATGCTGGCTGCTGCATCTACACTGCCACAGACTCGAATCATTCCTCCATCTCACCTCCCCCATGAGACAGCAGCCTCGGCTGAGGTGCCCTTTGGGACTCTGGGCTCCTGCCCATCACTTGGTCATTTGTGGTAGTACACAGAGCCAGGGTTGATTTATGCTCCCAAATACTCGTATCTTAAACCTTAAACCTATGATAACTTAGTTAATTCCTTCCATTTTATGGTTAGGGAAACTTGGATCCAACAAGTTGAAGTAATAACTTGCTCAAGAAACACAAGTAAGACCCGGAGCCAAGATTGAATTAAAGCCCAAATGGAACCCTGGACAGTGTTGCTAAGTGGTTAGAGCGTCAGCACGTGGCCTGTGGGTTCAGTTCTCGGTCAAGGGCACATGGCTGAGTTGCAGGTCTGTTCCCTGCCCCCCAATCAGGGCACGTGCGAGAGGCAACCAATTGATGTCTCTCTTAAATCAATGCCTGCGCCCTTCAACTATCTAAAAGCAATCTATATATATACAGAGCCAGGGGCCATGGCAACCAAACGGACAACCTAACAGGCTGGCAACAAGGCCAGCAGGGGAGTTAGTGAGCAACGACCAAACGACTGAGCAGCAGGCTGCGTGGGGTGACCAGGCCAGCAGGGGGTTTAGTGAGGGACGACCAAATGACTGAACAGCAGGCTGTGTGGGGCGACCAGGCCAGCGGAGTAAAAAAGTCAAACTTAACGTAATTAAGCCTCTGTAGATACAGCTATAGGAAATACAGGTGATAGAAAAACATGTTGAACAACACTACCAGGTTGTAATTAGCTAAATTCTATAGGACAAACTACCCAGTCTCATCAATCAATATTAATAAAAGAGTAATATGCTAATTAGACCAGACGTTTCCGGACAAAGCCGCAGTGACTGCGAGGGCCGGCAGTGGCAGCAGCAGCGGGGTGATGGGGGCAGTGCCTTCCCCTGATAGGCCTGGTCGCCTGCCGCAGAGGGAGGCCACACTGCGGCTTAGGCCCACTCCTCACGGGGAGCGGGACTAAGCTGTCAGTAGGACATCCCCTGAGGGCTCCCGGACTATGAGAGGCTGAGGGACCCCTCACACCTAGTGTCATGAATTTCATGCACCGAGCCTCTAGTAGAAAAATACCCTCGGGTGAGGATTAACCAAAAAAGAACAAGTTGACTTTAAATTCAAATACAAACCGTGTGCAACATCCTCCCTTAAAAAGGAAACTGAGTCACACTACTGCTCATTCACGAAAGGATGAATGCTTTGGAGATGAGTATATAATCCAGTGACGGTTTCATAGCCAAATCTGGTCGTCCCCTTCCTGTTGGTGTCTATGCCGTTTGCCCTTCTCAGCGCTTAACTGCACAGAACACTTTTTGAAATAAAACCCTAATAGACCCAAACATTGTCAAATTTATAACCTGTAGTAAATTTGCAGAGCTGTAAAATGAAATGCGTTTTCCCTTCTTTATTTGGTACACCTTAATTACTGGGGAAGGAGTACATTAAAACTGAGATCATGGGTTAATTAATTGTCCTGGACTGTAGAATTTTATGGACAGCCAGAACTAAAGTAATGGTTGTGTAGGAGCAGTTGACTAAACATGGCTTATAAATGTTACAGAAATTCCCATAATTAGTCCCACTGCAGCTATTTAGCTTGGGAATTTTATAGCAGACATAAATTACGAAGGTGAAAAGTACGAAAAATTTTGAATTGACATAGTGGCATTTGCAAAAGCTATAATTTGAAAAAAACACCTGTTTTGTACTATTATTAATTTTTTTTCAGTTTCCACAATTCCCCCTTTTTTAAATTTACTTTTTAATGTTGTTTCCACTATAATGTAATCAACGTATATCCGGTGTTAGGTGCATAAGCACAAGTGAGACCTCATGGAAATAGACCCCCAGCATCATTTCCAAAAGTGCGTCACTGCCAACCCCAGGAGGAAGGGGCCTATTTGATCACACTCTTCAAAGCCATTTCTGCATATTTTAATGGATTGAAAAGGAAAGTTACGGGTTCTCTTTAAATAGTGTTCCCTGTCATTGGATCTTGACACATTTTAACCTACCTGTTAAAATGCACGTTATAAATAGCTCCTCTTTCAAAGGTGTTCATTATACCTCATTGGCTCTTGTTATAGAAAATGCAAATGTAATTTGAAAAGTGCCCGTTCTGAGTGTGAGCAATTACGTGTGCTCTTCGATACCTGGTTCATTGTCAGCCCACAGCCACTTGGTGAGAAAGCACGTTTGCCTTTGAAATGGAGATCGCCTCGCCTCGGCTGCTGGCTGGCTGGCTGGCTAAGTGGGTAATGAGAAAATATTTCGCTTTTCCAGGGAAGCAAGCAGCTGTTGAACAACTATCCTGTCTACATAACGAGCAAGCAGTGGGACGAGGCTGTAAATTCTTCAAAGAAAGATGGGAGACGGCTCCTGCGATACCTCATCAGATTTGTTTTCACAACCGATGAGCTTAAGTACTCATGCGGCCTTGGGAAAAGGAAAAGGTCAGTGCAGTCAGGAGAGACAGGTCCCGAAAGACGCCCTCTGGATCCAGTTAAAGTAACATGCCTCCGAGGTACTGCATCCTTCCGCTCAGCGTCGCCATCTGTGATCTCATTTCACCGCATTGGCTGTGGCTCGCGTGCAAGTGTAGCCCTTCCCGTTTCTTTGGTTTTTTCCCCACTGAGATCTCATAGGCTTCATGTGGCCCATCTACTGGGTATCGACAGGTTCTCTTTAAAAGCTCCTTGTTTGCTTTAGCCTTGGTGTTCTCCCTGAACGGCACGTAACATTGCATAGCACCTCATGTTTCACGCTTTAAGTTCCGACTTGCTCTGCGGCCAGAGGAGGCCATTTCCGGCCACACTGGAGCCTTGGGACAGGCACAGAGGAAGGGAAGACGTGGAATGGTTTGTTTTAATTAGTCAAGTGGTAGGTAGAGCCCATTTTCATTTGCAGCCTGTGGCCCACCCCCTCCCCATCTAGCTTCCCTCTCAAGAATACATGCCCCCAAACTCCTTACATTTATTTAGAATTCATTTTCCTCAGTGCCTAAAGTATTACTTGGCCCTATCAAACTTTATTCTATTAGTTTCAAAAAAGTTCCTGTATTAAAAATAAAGGCAATGCTTCATCAGTATTAATAACTGGTTACTTTGCATCTGATCCACACTTGGTAAGCCAGGCAGGGGTTGAGGAGGAAGAAGCAAGAGATACACCATTCATGCAGCAGGTTCAAATAAACAGACAGACATTAGCCAGCTAGGAACATTATAGAGCCAACAAATACACCGTTCACACCTGAAAAATGTCATATTAAAAAGCTCAATGTTCACCTGGATAGGTCAGTAGTAAGTTTATTGGTTGGAAAGGTTTAACAGTGACTTACTCTGGACACGGATCAAATATTTCCTGACGAGGAAGCCACAGGGGAAAACCTGCGCACTGACCAGGCCTCGGTTATCACCCAGGACACACTCCTGCTGGGTGCCCACAGTGACTGTTAGTGTGCTAAACGCCTATGTAGTATTTGTTAGCAGCCGAGTTCCCCACGCCCATCCTGAGCATCTGATTCAACTGGTCTGGGGCGGGCATGGGGAGGCTGCATTGCTGTGCCTAGGACCTTCCTGGGTGATCCTAATGCCCATGGCCCTAGTGGCCCTTCAGAATACCACGGGCATGAATACACCCATATTAACTAGGCACAGGTGCTCCAGAGCACCCCCTGTTGGCCATTCTGGAAATTCCACTTGCTCAGAGTGGGTACGATGGAAATGTTCAGGGTCTTTCTGAGCCAACTACCCATGATGTCCTGTATTTTCCAACATCATCAGAGCTGATGGGATCCTCACCAAGAGGACCAGAGGCAGGGGCGGGCCTGGGACTCCCCTGAATGTAGGCTCCGTGTGCTACGGAAGCTGCCCTGGGGCTAAGGGACTCAGAATAAGGGGCCTCAAATCCCTTTGCAGAAATCCGTATTAAACATTTTACATGTTAACTAGCAAGTATGTGAAACAGGGATTAGCGCCAGTGCCCGTGCCCTGAGGATGCTGCCACACCCACTGCGACACTAACGCCGGCCAGGCTGCCTGAGCAGCGCTGCCTGCTCCAGCCCGTGCCCGCGTGGGGACATGACCCACAGGCCTCCACTGGAGAATGTGGGGGCACAGAATGGTAGTTGTCTGCCCAGGGCAGCTGGTTAGAGCATTTATATGTCTGTCCCAGAAGCTGCAATCCTAGGACCCTCCTGTGACCTAGATGGGATTCCCTCCCTAAAGGTTTGGGCCTGGTGACTCCCCGGGGTGGTGAACAGGATTACAGTGGCCAAGGAAGCCTCAGACCAGGGCCACTTTCAGTGATGGAAAGCAGGGAACTCGGGGAATAGAATCAGCCTGGGCTGGCCTGCTCCCAAAATGCGTCCCGTCTGTGTAACAGAATGAGCCCTACCTTTAGCTTTTAATTGCCTGTCCATTTCAGGGACAGTCCTGTCACAGCGGTAGATGGGAGCGTGAGGCGGGGGAGTGTCACAGCAGTGCGTCCTCATCCATTAGCCTCTCTTTCCTCTCGCTGATGCTTTGAGTCTCTCATTTCCTTGGGTTCATGTGAGGAGGGGATCTGAACAGATAGGGGAGTTATTTAAACAGTTGTCGAATGCTCAGTGAATACAGAAGGGACTTGAGGAGGACAGAGGAGGAATAGGAAACAGCCCCGGCTTCTGGAGCTAATAAGTAGTCCGGCTGGAGATGATTGGAGGACAGTGGTGAGATAATAAGGTGCAGATATTTGAGTCCTTGAGGTCCCAGAATACCTCCTTTCTCTGCCCAGCACTGTCATGACCTGGACTTTATAATTGCCCTTCAGTGTTTCCCAGGCTCGCACCCCAGGATAGGCTGTCAGGCTCCCAGCAGTTGCAGAGTGAGGAGCTGAATTAACAGAATGCTTTCCCCAAGGAAGGCGTCCAGGGCTGGGACTGAGGGAGGCAAGTGAGTATCTCACCTCGGGCAGAATCAAAGGGTGTGCCAAGCCAGCAACCTG